GTATGCTTGTTTGTCTTTGTGTCTATGATGTATAATGATGTGATTGTGATGCTGTAATTCTGAGTGTTTATGTGCTGCAGAACAGGAACCTGCTGTAAAACAGCAATTATGCTGAGTCAGGCTTGATTTTTAATAATCTTTTCCTGTTAAATAAATAAATCAAATCAAATCAATTAGCTTCTGCTGTTGAGCCTGTTGGTGTGTTTTGTCTTTTATTTTCTTTCCTGAAATACTTGCTATAACTAAAACCGTTTAAACCTGTTCCAAATGAACAAATGTAAGGCTATGACCAGAACACGAGAAGACTTACTGATATAATTCAAAGTTCTGCATCTCCTCGTCCCAGTAGTATCTGGTGCTGTGGTGGGTGAAGTATTTTACCTAAGAGGAAGAAAGCAAACTGAGGTGATCACTGACGTCTGCTGTAAATCCTAAATCTGAACATGTCTCTGAACCCTACAGTGACTTCAGAAAGCAGTCAGACTCCCTTCAGTTTCTGCAGCTTTGTTTTGTTGCATCTTGATTCTTCAATTGTTTTCATTGTTTCTCAATAATCTACAGTCAGAATTTCAGTTTTGTAAATTTATTAAAGTAGATGTGATGCTTTTAAATCCTTCCTTTTCACATTTAAATCCTTCAGTTGGGTCTTTATACAGTGGAACTACAAAGCTTTGGCCTGAATTCCCCCTTATTCTAACTTTACCAGCTCCTCTTTCATCACTTTTCTGCTGTTTGTCTCACAGCAGCTGGTTTTGTTACTCTTCATTTAAGACATCCTTCAAGCCCTGCTACACTCCGGCTTCCACTCCGGTTGAAGTACTTAAGTACTTATTTTTGAAAATACTTAAGTATTCAAAAGTACATGCATTTAAAAGTACTCAAGTATTCAAAAGTACAAATGAAATTTTTAATATCAGTACATTGCTGTATTGTTTTAGAGTGACTTTACAGAACCTTGTAACTCTCAGAAACCACCTGATATATCGACACATAGAACCACTCTGCTACAAATTCACCACCTGTAAAGACTTCAGCATAAAAATACAACAAAGTGAGTGGTGAGTTCTTAAATGCAGAAATATAGTTTATCTGTGGTGAACACAGAAGATGTTTAAACTGATATAAACTATTTTTCAGTCCTAAAATMTCAAACATGAAGCTGAGATATGGTCATCTAGTTTCTTTACTCTCTTCAATCGTCTCCATTGCTGGGTTCTGTTTGAAATGAAGGTGGAGCTCAGGCTCACCACCGTTAATGATGATGTAATTACAAATCCATCCCAGGTGTGGGCTACAACTGTGATTGGTTCCCCTTGTGAGAAATATAGTGTGACGTTTCAATTAGGGGTGTCCCGATACCAGTTTTTTCAAGACTGAGTACAAGTACGAGTACGTTAGTTTAGGTACTCACCGATACAAAGTAGTGGGGTTCGTGTGTATT